CCGCCGGCGGCAGCACGGGCAGCCGGGCGACGGCCATCCCGCCGGCTGGACGGACAGATGAAGGGATGGAGGAACTCGTCAGCCGCCGGCACACATCCCCTGGTCCCGCTGAGCTCACCCTACACACATCCTGTGCTCCCGGGTCTCCTATTTATCACCGGAGGCTCCGGCTTCCTGTAGCCTGGTCCGCCAGGGCACTCGTTTCTCCCATCCCGAAGTTTTCCTGCAGAGGGGCTCGCCGTGCTTCGGCTGGTGCTGCTTTTCTGCAGGAGAAACTAGCTGTGTTCCTGCTTTTTTTTTTGTTGTTTTCGAGGGCTTGATCTACTCAGTCACCCAGCAGATGATTTTTCTAATCCCTAATAGGGCCTGCTTGTCTTCAAGCATGTATTGCTAAAAGGGGAAGAAAAAAAAACAAAAATAAAAAGCCGTGGGATCCCTTGCTATCGGCCTTGAAAAGAAATTGAATATTTGGCGCGGTGTCTCATGTGCATGCTACTTTTCCAGTGCATTTTTCCCCTTCTTCGTGCGCTTTAAATAGACAGACAAGCCCTGAAATAGGAGCTAGGTCGTGGGAAGGTCCGGGCTGCCAGGACGGAGCCAAGCTCGGCCGGTCCCCGATGCTGTCCGGAGCAGACCCTCCGTGCCGAGGGAAGCGCTGCCCGGCGGCTGCCCCGGCATCACGCCGGTGAGGGTTGATGCTGTGATGCTCCGCGTTAATAACTCGCTAATTGCTTGACCCCGATCCGATGTAGCGTGGAGAAGCGGCTGGCCTCGGCTGATGTCGGTGGCTCTGCAGAAGGCCGTTAGAGAAAGGGCAGAGGCACTAATATAGCACACTCGAATGTTTAAACAAACATTCATGTTGCAGAAGCCCCTAAAAGAGCTTGAGGCAGCTCCTCTGCAACAGCGTTTTAGGATCCCAAAGCATTTTAGCAGTGTGACTGAAATTTAAATATTTTGAAATATTTGAATTAGGTATTTACTGGCGCAGAATTTGCTGTGCTTATCCTTTTTCAGGCCGGGAGATGCCAAGCAACACGGTGACTTCTTTTCTGCTGCAGCGGGCGTGCTCGCCGTTGGGGTGGCGCAGCCGCGCGCGTAACCAGACGTGCGCGTAACCGGACGTGCGCGCGGGCAAACCTGCGTTTTGCACATCTGAGCCCCCCGCTGCGTGCCCTCGTTTGGACCCCTCGTTTTTTATTGTGCTGTAAAGCTGTCCTGCTCGAGCGGACTGCTGCCCGCAGAGCAGTGTCTGCAGGGAGGTCAGGATGGTGACGGGGAGAGAGGGTGAGGATGAACGGACTGCCCCGAAGAAGGGAGGACTGCAGGAGAGGCTCTCCAGATGCGGTGCTCCTTGCGCTTCCCGCTTGCTGGGATAGCAAACAAGCGAAAAGCTAATGAGTTTAAAAAAAAGCTAATCCCGGTTCCCTCGCTGACGGTCCGCCCGCCCTTCTGCATCCTGGGATCTTCTCCTGGAGCTTCCCTCTCGCAGCAGCTAGCTCAGACTTTAACCCCTCGACCTGCGAGTCTGCCTTGTCTTTTCATGCTTAGCAGGCATCCGTCACAACCACGAATCCCATGTTCATTCCAGCAATCTTCCTATTTGTTGATTTATCTGGGTTTTGTGTGCCGAGTTAGCTCAGTAACGCGACAGCGAGCGACAGCGACCCGATTGAGGAACCAAAACACAAAACCCCCTCGTTCACTTCCCTTCTTTATACCCTAAATATAAAAGTCTCCAAAAATCCCAGCGCTGAGGACTACAGCTTTCTCTGCTTCCCCAGAGGTGTTTACGCTCCTGGAAGACCCCTGGTCGCGGGGATGTCCTCCGGTCGGCAGCAGGGACCGGTGCTGGCTTTTGGGGCTTGGCACACCTGAAGGTGGCAAAGATCTTTGATGCAAAGGAGGAGGGGGCAGGAGCTGGAGCTCCGTCGCCAACCTCTCCTGCACCCTACAGCTTGGCAAGCTACCTGATGGCACCGGCTTCGCGGAAAAAAGAGAGAAGCATCGTTTGGGTGACGCGGAGGTGTCGCTCCTGCCGGAGCGGAGAATACGATGCAGGGAGCCACAGCTAACGCTCCGAAACCGCGGAGCGTTTTGGGCCAGCGGCCACGCTGAAAAACTGCGTTGGGAGGGAAAAAATATTTTGATGCCACCTCAAATTGGTTTTATTCAGAATTTCCTCCTGGAAAAAATGGGGGGAATTTTCTTTCGACTTGTACAAAATAAGAGAGCTCAACACAAAAGCATTTCCTTTCTGCTAAACCAGTACATGTCTCTGCTTTTACAAAAACATTGCCGGTGTTTTCTCTTTCCAGCTGAAATGGTCAGAGCGCTCAACTGACCATTTCTTCCAGCAACCCAAACGAGCATTTTTTCATCCAACCAAGTTCCATGGACAAAAAATGGCCAGTTCTAACTATAGCTCCTCCGGACATTTCCAAGCTGGGGTTATGGACAAAACCAAAAATACTTAAAAATAATTTCTAGGTGCATGTCTAAGAGGTTGCTCCAGCAGAGTAATTAATGAATTGCTGGTGATATTCTTCATTAGGATGTGTACGAGGTCTAATCAGGCTCCTGTCCCAGGGAAGAAACCTTTTTCAAGACCGCAGTGTCAGATCCCTTCCTTTGATTTGCAAGAATATAGATAATAACCCTTTCCAGTGGCTTTATTTTTTTTTCCCCAATAAATGTTTGAATGTTCCTGCTAGAGCTGTTTACAGGCTGGTTACGATTTCATGTACAGGAAACCTCTCCCCCCCCGCCTTTTTTTAGCTAGATCTTCATCTGCGAGGCTTATGCTAATATTTTTACCCACAGTTTTGGCAAGAGAGTAGTTTTGGGTAACTTAAAAACACATCATGCTTGTATTGGTTTTTATTAAATACGCCATGCTTTTTAAATTTTCGTCTCAGCTGGGCTGATGTTCCCATTTGAAAATCAAAGTCCTGGTTCCTAAGTTAAAAGGGGTTTTGTTTCTCAACCACCCCCACCCCACCCCCCCCCCCCCCCCGCCACCCCAAAAACCCCCCTTTCCGTCATAATCAAAACCAAATTATCTTCTGGAGACCAGAAATCCCGCCAAGTGGCGTACCGCACTTAAAAAAAAATAGAAAATTAAATTTAAAAAAATTTAAAAAATCAGCTTGCTGGAGGAACTGGTTAAAAAAAAAAATGTTTCTCCAAGGCCAAAGAAGGAAACGTGTGCTGTCTGCTTGACATCAGCAACGGCTGTTTGTGCAAAGCCCCAAGGCTGGGACAAGGGACAATGGGGCCGGGGGGGGACACTTGCACCACCAGCAGCTGGAGAAGAATGGGAGGAACTGGGCTTCCTCTGGGCACGTCCTCAAGGACCCGGCGTCGGGTCGGCGGCGTGCAGCAAACCGCCTGCTCCCCAGGCGAGGAGCGGGGCCTGGCAGCCCCGGCACGGCGGGCAGGCTCTCGGGATGGGGTAGCGGTTTGGGCATGTGGAATCGGGGGGGATTTGGGCAACGCGGTACTGGGTTGACTCCTGCTAATGCTGAATGCGGGCACTGGAGAGGCTGCTGCGTGTTTGCACGAGTGCTCTTTAGTTTTGA